GAGGCTGAGTAAGCTATGACGAGCAAGTCAATAAGCAGCACCCCTCCATGGCCTCTGCAGCAGCTCCTGCCTCCAGGTTCCTGCCCTATTGGAGTCTGGTCCTGACTTCCTTCCGTGATAGATCATGAAATGGAAGTGGAAGTCAAATAAACCCTTTCTTCCCCAACTTGCTTTTGGCCATGGTGTTTCATCATAGCGATGGCACCCTCACTAGAAACACTTGTGGAGGAGAGGGTTCATCTGACTTTCACATCCCAGTCACACACCATCATGAAGGGAAGTCAGGGCAGTCACTCAAGGCCACACCTAGAGGAAAGAATGAAGTAGAAACAATGGAACAAGGCCGCTTCCTGGCTTGTTCCCCTACTTGCTTATACAATCCAGGCCCATCTACTGTCCCACATTAACCGTTGCTCCAGAAAATGTCTTCCACAGACTTGCTCACAGGCCAATGTGATGGAACCTCAGTTAGGGTTCCTCTTCCCAGATGACCCTAGCTTGGGAGAAGTCGCACGGATAGCCGCTGAAAATATTTGTCAGTGTACTGACTTTCGAATATCCTCACCTCTACTTAATTCACGGTCTGGTTCTAACAGACTTTGAGTTGTGTTCCGAGTCTTATGAATATAACAATCTACCCTCCACCAACAGAGACAATTTATGCTCTTTGTCTCCACGTGAACACTTTCTTTTTTTTTGACCCTTTCTATTTCCTTCTCTTCACGGCTTGCCCCACTACTATGTTTCATGGAACTGACGGCGGGTATCCTTAGCACAACTTATTAGGAGTTTTTAATCATTAAACGATGTCAAATGTTGCCTAATCACAGTGTTAGCCCTTTGTTATATTAATGTGATACACTATGCCACATTTATAAGGAAAAAATTCTGCTTGATCATAGTAAATAACTATTTGGGTGTGTTGCTGTATTTGGGTGTGCTAGTATTTTGTTGAGGCTCTCATCATCAGAGTTTATTAAGACAACATCGGCCTGTGAATCTTCTCTCGTTTCTCTCTCTGCCAGTGTCTGTCTTTGGTATCAGCATAGTAATGATTTCACAGCAGCGTTCAGAAGTTTCCGCTCCTTTGGATTCCTTTAAAAGACTCTAAGAAGAATGGGCACTAGCTGTTTACACGCTTGGCAGACTCCAATAGGAGCTCATTCGGCTGTAAACACGGCACTGGATATTGTCACGGTTCTCTTGAAACCTCTCCTGGGACCCACGGGCTGCTACAAGAATGTTGCTTCATTTCCATATGTCTGTGAATAATCTTGTGTTATTCACTCCTAGTTTTACATACTCTAGATGTGAAAGGCCCTCAGTCGGGGGGAGGGATTCTAATTATTTTTTTAATTATAGGTTTTATTTAAATTTGTAATAAAAATTTAATTTTCCTCTTTTTTCTTTCTTTTTTAATTGTTTTTATTGAGCTATACATTTTTCCTGCTCTCCTTCCTTCCTTCCGTCCTTCCTTCCTTCCTTCCTTCCTTCCTTCCTTCCTTCCTTCCGTCCTTCCTTCCATCTCCTGTTCGAGCTTCCCTCTGCACCCATCCCCCATGCTTTCAATTTACCCAGGAGATCTTGTCTTTCTCTCTTTCCTAAGAGGATTCATGTATGTCTCTCTTAGGGTCCTTTTTGTTGTAGACTGCAGGCTGGTTATCCTTTGCTTTAGGTCATTAAATCCACTTCTGAGTGAGTACATACTATATTTATCTTTCTGGGTCTGGGTTACCTCACTCAGTATGTTTTTTTTTTCTAGTTCCATCCATTTACTTGTCTATTTCAAGATGTCATTTTTTTTTACCACTAAGTAGTATTCCATTGCATAAACGTACCACATTTTCCTTATCCATTGTTTGGTTGAGGAGCATCTAAGTTGTTTCCAGATTCTGGTTATTATGAATAATGCTGCTATGAACATATTTGAGCACATGTCCTTGTGGTATGATTGAGCATCCTTTGAGTATATGCCCAAAAGTGGTATTTCTGGGTCTTGAGGTATATCGATTCCTAATTTTCTGTGAAATCATCATACTGATTTGCTAAGTGGCTGGACAAAGTTGCTCTCCCACCAACTTGTGGGGCTCAGCCCACATGCCAGGCTCACCCTTGCCCCTCAGTATAATTTTAATATTCTTAAATTCCTAGGGAATATTCTATGTTCTGTTCAATTGAGAAAAACGGATATTCTAATGCTACTGTTTAGGTTCACAAGGTATAAAGTGTAGTTCTAAGCCCATGTGTCCTTGTTGGTTTTGTCTGGATGATCTGTCTACTGCGGCAGAATTTACACTGTGTGGCTAGATGTTGCTGAGGTGGTTCAATAAAGAAGCTGAATGGTCAATAGATGGGCAGGATAGGGTTATGCAGGAGAGTCAGACTATGAGAACAGTGGGAGAAGGAAGGGTGGACTCTGGAGTCACCAGCCAGATAGAGAATGAGTGAGACACACCAAATGGGATAGAGGTAAGAGCAGCACACAGATTAATAGAAATGGATTAAATAGTCATTCATTTAAAAACAAGCCTGAGCTATTGATCAAGCATTAATAAGTAACCTTAAGTCTCTGGTTATTTGGGAGCAGGCGGTTAGGACATGAAAACTCTGCCTACAACCTACCACTGTGGGTATTGCCTGTGGTCTCTACTGCATTGTACCTCCCTCCAGATCTGTCAGTCATGGATGCTAAAGCTGATGGAGTCCTGCATATTTGTAAAGTTTATCTTTCTGCAAATTGATCTGTTTATCACTAATACCCTTCGACATCTTTTAAAATTTGTTTTTGTGGAGCTGGGGACCAACCCGAGTCTTGCGCATGCTAGACACATTCTCTACCAGGAAGTCCTACCCTTGGCTCTGGTTTTATAGATTTGACCGAAACTCTGCTTTATCTAAGATTGGCCAATGTGCATTCCTTCCCCCATACACACTAAGGGGATTTTTGATTTGTTTGATTTGTTTGAACTCTATAGATTTCTACTCTTCTTTTCTCTACCATAAGCATTCTCCCCAAATCTCTACCTCAAATCCTGACCATCATGCAAAGCACCACTCTGGGGTGATCTTGTTTTCTTCATCCATGATGCCTTACTCTATTCGCTTAAGATCAATCTCAACTTTTTGCAAAATCAATTGTACTTGAACGCATGGATGAGTGACAGGCTAAGTGCTGTCTCTCTAGATTAACCACACATTCTTGACCATGGCCACACGAGATGTACGGTCTAGTACCAGCCTCTTCTGGGTTTGGCTGGGCTGAGGGGGAAGCCCTCAGAAGTACAGCACGTGGGAGAGACATCCTGCTCTGCCCATGTCCTGCGCTGCCCACGTCCCTTCCCTTTCACAGGTGTTTGTCTTTTATCTTGACAGGAAGATACCACTTCCTGCTTCTTCTTCCCTTTGTCTTTGTGGCATCACCCCTGAGAATCTCTTGAATATGTAATTCTACCCAAACACCTGCTGTTTAGAAAATCTTAGAGGATACATTGCTTTTTATAGCGTTTTCCACTTTGTGCCTTATTGTGAAGGCATAAATGGCTCATACTCATTTATAATTTCCCAGGCATAGAGGCTGGCTTATAGATTCCTCAGCACAGGGTCTGGGCATCAGTCAATGTAATAGTCTCCAAATACCTAGTACAGTGCCGTACACATGCTCAGTTTCCAAAGCAGTTTGTTAAATGAATAATAATAATGATAAACAATAGGCTTAGATACTTAATGTCAAGTCTAAGAAACACCTTTATATCTCTATATTAGTTGCAAAATACAATAATTCTGGCAAATCAGCTAAGTCAACAGGAGAAGCCAACCTCACAGAGAGCGGTGACTCACTGGGTTGGTTATATATCGTTCACTTAGATAGCATCCCCTGATTGTCTCAGAGCACTCAGCAGTCTCACAGATTGATTAGAACAATGCCTAAAGCTGTCGCCTAGTTCTCCAGTGGGGACCATCCTGAGTGACTTACACAGATCATTCCATGTGAACTGCACAATGCCCTTGCTGGTAGATAGAATTACTTTCCCATTTCATAGAAATGGAAATGCCCAAGGTCACACATCTTCAAAGTTGGCAGTGCCAGAATTTGGCCATGCTCTAAACGTTGAGGCTATCCTAAAGCCACCCTGTCTGCCGGTGAATAATGAAGGTCAGTTATGTATAAGGCTTCGATGTCTGTGCTAATAAGAAGATCCTTTATACTAGAGCCCCAAGGAATGGCTATTTAAGGGCAGCTGATGGGAGAATGCTGTTCCTGCACCAATGTTGTCCAATCTGACTTTTTATAATAATAAAGAAGCTCTACACTTGCCATGCTTGGGTCAGCAGTACTGGTCCCATGTGGCTTTGAACTTTCAAAACATGGTTAAGGCATTAATTAATTGTAATTTAAGTAGTTATGTGGGGTTAGTGGCTTCTATATTGGTCAACATGGTTCTAATTTCTTCTCTGATCTGACCATTTCCTCTCAAACTTGATCCATTTCTCTGGCATGCAATTGAGGGTTTTGCTGTTGCTATTGTGGTTGTTGGGGTTTGTTGTTTTGGTTGTTGGTGTTGTTATTGTTTGTTTTTATTTTAAAGTTGAAGCTAATGAACCTGTTGCCCAGCAAAATCACGCTATGCAAATTCTGTGTGTCCAGTCCAGTCATCAACTCCATGACATTCTCATTCAGAGAAACAAAGTTATAGATGATAATTCTTATAACATAGACTGCTTTCTGAGACCAGAGGATGGCTGGAGAGCTCTCATATGGTCTAACCTTTGACAGTGCCATCACCTTCCCTGGTTTGATGTTTTGAAAGGAGTAAGAGGCAAGAGAACCACGGAGGCACAAAATTCTCATTGCGAAGGCTAATGGCTGATTGAGATTTTGATTCAAATAGCATTCACAAAAGTCTTCACATCAGACCAGCGAACAAAACAAGTTCTCACAAAGAAGACTGTGAAGACTATTTCCCCCATTGAAGAAAAAGAAAAAGATTACACATCTGTACCTGTTCAGAGGCTTTTTTGTTTGTCCCTTCCTTTGCCAGCTCTGTGTCTGCATCATCGGGGTTAACTTTCTCAATAGAACCATATTCGTGAATCGCATCTGCCGACAACGACGGGGTCTGAGGGACCTGGCAAGAGGGAGAGTCTTCGGCAGCGTCTCTGAGCGGGGCTTCAGGGATACTGCACAGGTGGACGAGAAAGCACAAAGTGAGCACCAGGCCAGAGAAGAAGAACATGACCTGGAACTCAGTGCCCAGCAGCCTTCCCAGTTCCAGATGCATCCAGTCTATGGCACCCAAAAGGTAGCCAAGGGCGCCACCAAAACCTGGAAAGCAAAGGAAAGAGCGAGAGATGAGTTGCTATGGTCAGCTAATCACGCTGGTTCCCCACCATGCACAGGCCCTCCTCTTCTGGGGTAAAACTTCCTGAGGAGACCAGAGACAGCCTGGTAATTATGAAGAGACAATGCAACAAGAAGCTAAGACATCCGTGGTGGAGTAGTGTGGGTTTAAGCTCCAGCTCTGATGTTTACTTGCTGTGACTATGGTCTTGCTCATTAGCTTTGCAGCAATAACTGAAGGTCATGATTTGAAAATGAGGGGTGCTCGGCACAGCAGGTGCTTGGTAAATTACCACTACAGATAACAGAGACCTGAAGTACCATGCTTAGCTACTCTGGGTCCCTTTAGATAACAAACTCTCCCATAGGGGGCACACAAGTGTGACGTACAAGGCACCAGGTATACCATTCAAAGATGTCTATTTATAAAACATGAGAATCAAAACAAGAATGCAGAATTTCACCTTATTTAAAGACACTATTCTTACTACATTCTATCTGTTACTCAAATGGCAATGTGTGAACTTCCTGACTCAAATATCTCCAACTCTGTAGAGGTCCTCCATGCAGATACTGGCTTTGGTATCACACATAAAAATCTGGTGTGGACAAACTGTGTGTGTGTGTGTGTGTGTGTGTGTGTGTGTGTGTGTGTGTGGACTGCAATGATAATATGCGTCTCGATTGTATTTTATCTTTCTGTTAGGATGCAAGGAAGCCCAGGTGTGGAAAGTTAGCAGCTCAGAGTTTATCCTACCATCACTGAAGAAGAGCAGATGGCCTGGGGGAAGCTGAGCATCTGTGTCCCTGTTCTGAAGGAGCCTTGTAAGGGGAGTGGTTCCTGTTCAACCTGACCACCCTTGTAAATGCGGCTGGGGGCAGATGTCACTCAACCTAAGTGCTTCCCCTCCCACACCTTTGCTTTCTATACCACTAACGTGTGGATGCAACCTCTGAGGAAAGAAATGGAAACCATTCCAATCTGATTGAAGCCACGTTCCCCAGTCCTGTGGCAAGGCCCTTATTGTAGAAGCAACTGAACTGTTGGCCTTTGCAGATTCACAACCATTTTAGACATAAGTTTTCATCCAATGTCACCCTTTGCTGGATGATCTCTATACCGCAGGCTAGAAATTTTTCAGCAAACCATTGTCAAAATCACAATGTTCTTATTCAACCAAATAAATTCTGATAGCATGCCAACTGCATTTGCCCAAAATTGCGTATTCTCTGAGATCAAATTTTTTTTCCATACTGAAAGTTTCTAATTTTAACATGCCTAATACAATAATGGTTCATGCAAAAACATCAACTGTAATTACCTCGCCATTTTTCTAGAAATGAATTTCTCAGTTTCAGCACAGAAAATGGCTCACCAGCCTAGTTCAGAAACTTCCCATTTTCTGATTGGACTCATAAAATCATACTTCTGTTTCTTTTCGTGACTAAGGATTAGGAATGAGTATATTTTCAGCTCGTTAATTGATCTGGTTCTTGAGCCACTTGTCACTACCTACAGTTAATTTTTCAAGTCTACAGAACTGATATTTATAACTCTTGCGTGTTTATGCATCAACTGGGTGAAGTCCTTTGAAAATGCACTAGCGCCATCTAGTGGCGACTAAGAAGAACGGAGTACAGATGTTAGAGATAAAGCGCTGAGGGGAAAACCCTTTTGAATCACACTGCAAATCTCAGCCTAATTCCCTCTTGCTCCAGCAGTGGCTGTGGAGAGTTTTGCAAAGCCAATCAGGTGCATCTGGACCTCCCTTCACCTCGGGGAACCACACACATCCTGGAACCGCCTTGGGTTAGCGGAGTGATTCTTCCATCCTTCATCCTCCGAGATAAAGAGTTCTGAGACACACTTTACTAGGCTTGTCAGGGAGCACGGAGAGATGGAAGGTAGAAGCCAACTCCATAATGCCTGGTCGGCATATTCAATAACAAGTCCCTCCTTCCCTATGGAATTAATTCCCAAATAAACTGTGTGTCCATATTCCCAGGTCTCCAAATGAAAACAGACACCACATCTTCAGTTAGGTGTTGGCTTTTACCCCTCCCCAACACCCAGTCAGGTGGCTTGGGCTAGTCACTTTAACTCCCAACAACAGAACACAACACAACCATTGTGAAAACTGAGGATGTTAAAATAGAATATTCATCAACAGTTTCTGAGGCCCTTCCGTATTCTATGCACTGTTGAAAGCACTGGTCATAAAGCAATGAAAAGACAGTTCCTGCTGGTGGGGGACGAGGAAGCAAACAAAAAAACCCACAAATGAATGAATGAATACTAAGAGATCACATGTGAGCATAGGATCTGGAAGGAGAACAAGGAGGCAAAGAGGGCTGTTGGTATCAAGGGGCATTGTGCTAAGTGGTAAAGCTCTCCCAGGGACATCGTGTTAAGTGACAAAGGCAAGCAGGAAAGTATACATAGTGGGTGGAAGCAGAAAGAGCTTGAGCACATAGAAGAAGAGCATAGAGGCAGAGCACAGAGGCACAGTACAGAGGCACAGCACAGGGGCAGAGCACAGGGGCAGAGCACAGGGGCAGAGCACAGAGGCACAGCACAGAGGCACAGCACAGAGGCACAGCACAGGGGCACAGCACAGAGGTAGAACATAGAAGAGTAGTCAGTTCATGGAAGCAACAACGGTGAAAGGGGCAAGAATGGCGGTGGCCCTGACTGCTGTGCACTGTACATAGGCATTGACGACATTATCACACAAATAGAGATGGTACATGCTGGAGTTTGAAACTAAGCTAATTAAAGCGAGGTGAGGGATGTCTATAGTTTTCACGCTGGCTGTGTCTCTGCCAGGGTGCCGGAGGAAGATGTGAAAGTCCCCCACAGGCACGAACTTCAAAAGCAATCCAGTTGATGAAACAAAACCACTCATCCCACAATTATTCACGAGTGAGAAAAAGTGAAGATAGCCCCAAACATGAAAGACAGTTCAAAAAAAAAAAAAAAAAAGAAAGAAAGAAAGACAGACAGTTCTTCCAAACCGAATCAAAAGTTTGGTTAAATGGGGCTCTATCTGAAATTTATTTTTAGCTCTCCTCTTGGTCTTTTATTTTCTAAGCAGAGCATCTTATTTTTACATGTTAGTATTTTGTGCCCACTTTAAAGTACTTTTTTGAAGTTAGGAGAAGCCAAGCCCACTGAGTTTCCCCCTCTTCTCCTACAGGAATACACAGGGTCAGTTTTTCCCTGCAGCATTCGTTCCTTTACAGATACGACTTTTTCAGACAGAAGCACAGAGAAGCCAAGTGAGCACACAGCTCTGGCCTTTGACCCTGGGCACGTCTCTTTATTCTGTGCATGGGTCCTTTCGCCAGTTTGTTTGCAACTAACATCATAGGCTCACAGGCTTGGGGACAGGGGACACAAAGTTCAGACCTCCTGAGCCTGCCCAGCAGCAAGTTTGCCACCCACAGATAGATCTCACTGCCCAGGACAGCGCAGTCTGCAGTTCAGTTTAGCACAGATACACTGGGTTAGGAACTCTCAACACAAAGCTACTTCCTCCCACTAAGCATGGGTTTAATGGCTCACTGGGCTGATCTCCACAGTGACTGGTGTGCATGCGGAGAGGCTGAGAGTTTGTCCACCAAACCCATCACAGTTCCTGCTGAGCCAGGGCTGGAGAGATGATGGCTACTTTCTAGTGGGAGAAACAAAAGGCCAAATAAAATAGCTTTCTAGGGGACAGTAGAAAAATTCCTCTAACACATCCCACACACACTCACATACTCACACATACACACACGCATGTGTGCACACACACTGTATGTGCCGGTTTACATACACAGAACAAGGAATGCTGCATTTTACGAATGGCCCAGCTGTCACTGTCATGAATTATGCAGAGTGCCATCATCAAGTAGTCTGAGACCTTCGAAACGAAGCTCTAAATTGGGTGGAGCTCCAGACTACTACTCTGGAAGGGGAGGAGCTTGATCCTGCTCTTCTCTTGAGGAATGGACTTGCTAGAAGCTAGCCACACACAGCGACCTCCCACAGGCCCTGGAGACACTGACTGACATCTGCAACTTGGTGCTTCCCATGAGACCAAACAAAGAAAAACCTAGAAATCAATGTTTCATAAGTACAGTTAGGTCTCTATTTTTAACTATTGGATTTCTTCTCTTTAGTAAAAAATGCCCCTTCTTCTGTGGTAATGGATCCCAGTTTGCTCCAGGGAAGTAAGTGGCACTGTCCCTAAAAATTAAAAGCTAAGTAAACCTTCACTTTTTAACTTCAAGTGCCTAGAAAATGATCTAATTGTGCTCATTGAGAAACAAATAAACGTCTGGGGGGAGTAGAAAGCTCTTGCTTTCCTCGTTTAAACAGATGATGCAGGTTCTTTCCCCAGCTTCCTCCCTGACTCTGCTCTCCATCCCTCCTGTCTAGAGAGAAGCATGATGGCACTATAGCAACCATCCCATATCCAAGAGTAACCAATGAAAGTTCAGTTGTGCTGACGTGGATGGCTGACCAAAAGCCACCATGTATTCACTCCCGGGCTTCTTTTTTTTTTTTTTTTTTTTTTTTTTTTTTTTTTTTTTTTTTTTTTTTAAGTACACCAATACAGGCGTTTAAGCGACTGTTGTGTGAGTGTTGTTAAGATCAAGTCCTTCCCTAAGCCATGCGTTCCTTGAACACCTGCCATGGGAGGGTGGGAGGCATCAGTAAAGCACAGTGACTCCAGCAGGATTGGAAGTGGCTCACTCATCTGCACAGAAGGCTGATAGCTCTGCCACATCTTCCTCACCTTCTCGCTCACTAACACACGCTTCTTCTGTGGATAGTTCCTTCTTTGGCAAAATGTGTGGTATAACTGCGGTGACTAGAAATGTCCTAAAATAGGATATAGAACAGTACCAAAGGCCATGAGGATTCTATGAAAATCTCCCGTTGAGGACAGCCTGGTCTTTTAAACTGAGAAGCACTGGATTGTCTCCTCACAGGTGGACCCAACTTTCCCGTCACCAACTACTCTTTCACCAGAACCAGGGGCTGCAGGTACGTTAGGAGACTTTAAAAGAAGCACCGTGTGGAAGGACCTGAGAACTGCTGGAATGAGACCTGGTAGTCGTGGTCTTTAGACCACGAGCATAAAAATGTAGAACATTAAAAACAAATCTCTTTATAAAGAACTTTTGTACTCTTATGGTTATTCAAAAAAAAAAGAGAGAGAGAGAGAGACTATCTCCCATATGCTGAAACGGAAAATGAAAGGGATTGGGGGAGGGAGCGAGAAAAATGGGTATGCTCAATCAATATGCCATCTTTTCTTAGAAGGGGAGTTGGGCTCAGGGTCAAAGGCCACTGTATGGCCTAGAGCGCACCTGTTCTCAAGTTCATGTGCTGATGTCTTAAACCCGAGTGTGACTGTGTTTGCATGGGGTGTTTAAGAGGTGCTGACAGTTAAAAGAGACCTGGAGTCACCCTAGTCTAGCAGACTGATTTTCCTGTATAAGAAACATCCCTGGGGGGGGGGGCAGTGAGAGTGAGGTGGGAGGCACTTGAACAGCAGCGAGGTCACCCGAGGACTCAAGAAGACAGATGTCTGCAAGCCAGGAAGAGGCTTTGGCAGAACCCACCTCCGCAGACGTGACCTTAGATTGCAGCCTCTATAAAACTGTGAGGATAGCCTTCCTGCTGTTCAAGCCAGTCAGGCAGCACAGTCCTGGGGCACAGCAGTCAGGCTGACCAGAGAACCCCCGGGGTACTGTACTGAAGGATGAATGCTGAAGTTCAGCCTGTCTCTCCACGCTGGAGCCAGCCACCAGATCCCCTTTGTATCCACTCAATAAACTCTGTGCTTTGATTATTTTCTGGATTAAAAACCAGTCAGATATTGTCTAATTGCAATTTAGAAGAGAGGAAGAGGTGGAAATTCCAGACCATTTTTGATTTCTAAAAAGATCTTCTGAGAGCCAAGACCTTGAACCTAGAGAAGAAAAGAGAGAGGGCCTGGGAGGAGTTGGGGGAAGGAAATAAATATGATCAAAATATATTGTTTGAAATTCTCAAAAAATACATAAAGGCATTATTAAAATAAAAAACGAAGAAGTGTTAGGTTGGTATTTATTTTGAGCATTGGCAATTTGACTGCTGGTGGCCAAAGAGCCCGGGGAAGTGTAAATGAAACAGACTTGATGTCTGTGCTGGAAACACGCTGAGAATTATTCAGGGCACAGAGAATATGGAGGGACCCGTAAGACATAAAGCTTGAGGTGCGGAAGAAAAATAGCATGTGGGCTTGGTTGGCGGGGTAGAGGGATGACTTAGCTAAGAGTGCCTGTTGCTCTTAACAACAAAGGAAAAATTTGATGGGACCAGACATCCAGGTGAGAGAGTGAGGATGCTGAGCAACAAAAGGAAAGATGAGGCAGGAGTTTTCCCAAACTCCAGCTGTGTTCTGCAGCATTTAGACCTCCAGAGACGTGGAGGTCAGGCGCCACTGACACACAGGACTGCCCCTCTGGCCTTGTCCTTTCACCCAGCATGGCAGGAACAGCTGACTGTACTGGGGCCGCCTCGTCCCTTCATAGATTCACTACTCAAATATTTGCCAAAACAACAAAACTAGACTTCAAGGATTCCACATGCAGGAACTAGTCTTGGCTCTGGAGGTAGGACACTTCATGGCTAGGGAAGGAGACATGGTGCTTCAAAAATTAACGTGCATTCGGCTTGACTATAAAGACAGTATAATAAAGCAGCCTGATAGAGTCTCCCTGCTAGATATAGAAATCCCTCTGGCTCAGGGTTTTGCCTTCACTTGACAGGCTAACAGGGACTAGATCAAGAATGCCTGATGTGCTACCAAGAACTGCTTGGGAAACAGCCCAGTGGCAACAGCCCCCTAGGAATGGCGAGAGCCCTCCCTGCCCAGCCAACATGGACATTTAAAGTGAGCAGGTTGATTTCTTTATATAATTAAGAGTTCTTGAAGATGGTGAGGGCTCACTTGCTTTCTCAATTCTAGTTTGAGATTTCAATGTATTTCTTACGACACCCACCACGCTCTCTGGGGTCCTTATTCAAATCAAAGGCAAATTCCTGAGCCCCACCTGGAATTCACTGAATCAGCATAACTGGAGAAAGAACCCAGAAACCTGCAGTTTCAACACACCCCTAGGCAAGCCTGATGCCGCATGCTGAACGCCTGAGGCTCTCTGCTTTAAAGAGAGGGGTCAGCACACAGGGCTCCTTTTCACTTCCGCTGCACGTGTTTCCACAGCATTCTGAAGAAACCTCTTGCGTGAACATCCTTTTCAAGAACTCTGAAGCCCCAGTCATGAGCTTACTTTGTTCAGGAAAACCAACGGAGACAGGGCAGAGCGCGTGATAGGCGCTTCCTGTCAACTGATCCATTCATTCAAAAGACGCCAAGTGCAGAGACCCCGGCTGCCTTCCATTGAAGTTTCTCCCCATCTGTGAAGCCGAAGGAGAAACTTTCCAGAATAGTCCCTACCTGTGAAGAGGGCGTGGTAGTGGAGACCCTTCTCCTTGTCCTTGTGGGAGCAGACGTCGAACAAGTAGGCTTTGATAGGCCCATCAATGAAGTCAGCCGAAAAATCGAAGAGAACCACACCTGTCATGGTGATGCTTACGGCCCAAACCAGCTTCCTCCTTGGGTTAGCAACCAAAGCTAAAACAGAAACAAACATCAGTCTTCTACAGTATGTCTATAACAACCCATATGTTTTTATTTCCCTTAAACTGCGGTCAAGTCATCCCTTTTCGGTTATGTAGTTTTATTTTTACATCTAAAAATGACTTTTTTTTTCATGTTTTAAAAAGTATGCAACTGGATGCCCAGGAAAGACAGATCTATGGATAGGAAGTAAATTGGTGATTGCCTGGTACCTGGTGCCTGGGAGAAAAAAGGGAGTGACTGCCAGTGGGGAGTGGCTTTCTTTGGGAAGGGACATGAAACTATCCCATATGGGCACAGAGGTGATGGTTGCTCAATCTCATGACTATTCTAAAAAGCTCTGGGTTATATACTTTATCTGAATACTCTGGGATTTTAATGACATCTCTTTACATCAAAAAATAATAACGGCCGGGCGATGGTGGCGCACGCCTTTAATCCCAGCACTCGGGAGGCAGAGGCAGGGGGATCTCTGTGAGTTCGAGACCAGCCTGGTCTACAGAGCTAGTGCCAGGACAGGCTCCAAAGCCACAGAGAAACCCTGTCTCGAAAAAACAAAAAATAAAATTAAAAAAATAATAACGATATGAAATAACCCAAAGGAAATCTCTTAAATCCTTGGTCCAGTAACAGCTTCGATATGGGGCTTCCCTTTTTGCGCGCGCAGACACGCAGTTCTACAGAGGGGCCAAACACAGGACTTCTCAGACTCTGGAGTGCCTGACTGCCATCGGAACCACTTTGTCAAAGCACAGATTGCTGGCGCCATTTCCTAAGGCTCTGATTGGGCAGGTGTAAGGGGGCGAGTACGACTGCTCGTAACTCTGCGGCCCCTTGATATGCAATTTTGGGCAACCCAGGCAAATGCGATCATGGAATATAAACGTATCTATCCTCAACCAACTCCCCGATCTTTCCATATTTAAAAAGCCACTGTATGCTTTTAGCACTTGAGTAGAGTCCATTCCACACGCTCTACTCATCCGCCAGATCTGCCGAGAGCCATATACTGTTGTGTCCTTTGCTTGTGGTTTGTTAACCTAAAGACAGTGTGCAATATGGAAACGTATTTGAAACATTCCAGTAGAAAAGTAAGTGAAAATGAGTCAACCTTCTGTTTCTCACCTCAAATTCCCTTGTTATATCCTCCATTTCCTTATCTATACATCCTTCTAAATCAGTGGTTCACAACCTGTGGGTCGCGACTCCTTTGGGGGGGTTACATATCAGATATCCTGCATATCAGATATTTACAATTCATAACCATAGCAAAATTACAGTGACTGAAATAGCAAGAAATAATTGTATGGTTGCGGTTCACCCCAACATGAGGAAATGTATTTAAGGATCACAGCATTAGGAAGGTTGGGAACCACTGTTATAAATATATACAAATATTACCTACTTATCTTGTATCATAATCACTTATTCTACTGGCATAAATGGTCTAAAACTATGTGCTTCCTCATGATTTCTTTTTCAATGTGTTGCCAATGAGTACTTAGGAATTGGTAGCTGGTTTCTAACTAGAAACAATGCTTTAACACCAATTTTTTTTTTTTTCAGAATTCACAATACAAAGATGTCTCAAGAGCTGGCAGGTCTGCACTCTGTTTCAATTAAAATGTCATAGACCCAGAATCAACTCATATTTGTATACAGCAGAAGGTGCTTTGTTACAAATGCTCAGAGCTGGACAATTTGACAAAGTATTCTACGAGACACGATATGCTACAAAGTCCTTCAACTGAAAAAAAAAAAAAGCAAGAATATTTAGTTTGGACAAATGGATAAACTTTCAATCCATTTGAAAACATTATAATAATAAAAACATTGTTGTAATGTTTCTAGAAGTAAAGGCTCCTCAGCCACAGGTTTGGAAATCATTCTACTGTAGAAGGAAGTTTACCCCATGCTAGGAGAGACCACTGATTGTAACCAGTTTCTGGCAGGCACTAAAAAGTATTTTACCTTAATAGTTAACTATTCGGCCCATGCACACCACTTACCTGATACAACGGCATCTCCATTGAGGTACAGGGCCATCCCCAAGAGCATCATGATGGCCAGTGTCAGGATGTAGGGTCTCCGGCGGCCCCACCTGGCCCTACAGTGATCACTGATGGATCCCACCACAGGCTGCAGAAGGAATCCCAAGATGGGGCTGAGGAGCCACACCATGCTGTACAAACTCTTAGGCAGGCCCACGCTGAGCAGAACCGGAGTCACGTAAGCGGCCTCCACGGCGTAGCAAAACTCTCGGCCAAACATGGCCATGCTGTGCATGATGAGTCTCCCTGTGGATCTCTTGGGCTGCTCCACAGATCCAAACGGGCAGTCCTCCGAGAGGGATTGATAGGTGTGGGTGTCAGTCTGTCCATGGCTGCCACTCATGACCGCAGAGGTAATAACTTTCCTGCGTGCTCCTCAGGTTTGGACTCCAAACCGGCTCTGACATGGAGCCTGTCTGAGCAGAGATGGGCAGGCTGGAGGAGGGGCTGGAATTCTTTCATTCCTCCAAGATCACAAGTTAGATGAGAAGCAAAGGGGGTGCTGGCACTTGGAAGCGTGACAAAGATTAGCTGTTGCGAGCCCTCTGGCTCCTTAGAATGCTGGTGTTTGTCTAAAGTCTCTCTCTCTCTCTCTCTCTCTCTCTCTCTCTCTCCACACACACACACACACACACACACACACACACACACAATTGTACACATTGCTTCCATAGTTTTCAAATCATAAAGACTCCTAAACAGAAACTAATAAAATTTAAATAAATCTAATAATTTCTATAAACTTCTTTCTATCGAGCTGGATATTCTCTTTCCCTGAATTCACATTTTCTACACACAGCTTAAAAGATAAATTAACTAGACTTAAAATGGTGGGTGGGGGTGTCACCCTTCACCCAACTCATTGTCACCTAAGTCCCTGAACGGTTCTCTAACTGCCCTCAGTACATTTTCAAGTGAGATAATGCAGACAGTTTGTTATATACTTTGTTATTTCCTTAATATATCCTTTGATTAGCCTTGATCTTCAGGACAGAGATCAGGTTGATTTATGGTATCCCCAGCATGTAGCCTGGCACCTCTTAGGTCTCCCAAAATATTTGCTAATAAATACAATGAATTTGAACGAACAGAGTATAATAAGTCCGTTTTGTGCCCTTCACTGCCTACTTTGCTTAGATCTTGGGACTACATATCCCAGGTTCCTTTGTTCTTTGGCTTCTGGGTATATTTGCCCAACAGCAAGCTTTGGTGAAAAGCTAGGGAGGAAGGGAAAACATGTATAATCCAGTTTTCTTCATCCCAGGGTATTTTTGGCATTGACAGTACACCCACTGTGAACCTACCTTCTAACAGCCACACTGGACTGCTGGATTTCCTTAACTCCCCAAAGCCATTGTACCCACAGCCCTAGATGTGACCCTGGCTCCTTGATTCTGCTCATATTGGGGTGGCCTCACTATCTCTGTTCTTTATCGCCAATGTAATCCTCTAATTAAATTTACTGTTTTAAAGACTGACTTCAAGTAGGTCACATTTTCCTTACTGGACCCTAATAAAAATCCTTGGTAGGAAAAGTATCTTCGAAGTCCCTGATCTCCAGAAAAAGGGAAGCACATCACTAACAGGCTACTAACATTACTTATATACATTTATTCTTTAAATTCACAACCTACCAAAAACAACGTCTCTTTCACTTTGTGTAATCACCTACACTCAGAAATCAGCGTCAAAGTCAGCTCATCTGATTAGCCATAGATCTCAACCAATTTGCATTTATCTTTTTTCTAAGCACCCCACCGAACAGATTTTTTTTTCTTTCTGAGAACATATTCTAACAATAACGATGGTTTTTAAAAAGACTTGCTTGGTTTATATCTCCTAGAACAATGCCACTTGCAATGGTCAGTCTGTCTTTTTATGTATGTGGGTGTTTTTCCTGCATGTATGTCTGTGCACCACATGCATGCCTGGTAATGATGGAAGCCAAAAGAGGGTGGTGCAGTTCCTTGAACTGGAAATACAGACTGTTGAGGGCTGCCATGTGGGTACCGGTTCCTCTGAGCCATCTCTCCAGCCCAGCAATTGTTAATCACGATTGCCAACACGACTGAGTTTAGAGTCCCCAGGAGACTAGTGAAGCGTATTTCTGGGTGTGCTGGTGAGGGCGTTTGCATACGGGATTAGATCTTGAGGACTTTCACCTGAATGGTTTAACCCCCTGATGGACTCTTAGGAGGCAGTGGAGCTGTGGGAATGAAGCCTGATTGGAGATGTTTGGTTGCTAGTGTAGAAAGGCCTCCTTGGGGGGCGAGGGTTACTTCATGCCTTGGCCCCTCCTATTGTTGCTCCATCTGCCCTTGCATGCCATAATCCTCGCCTTGCCTTGATGGTCTGAAACTTAGCAAAAGTAAACCCTCTCCGGTATGACCTGTCTCAAGTATTGTGGTCACAATAGTAAGCAAAAGCAACAGAAATTAAGTGAGGTGAAGCCTTTGAGTTGTACATTATATAGAATTGCTTGGATGCTTTATAGAAATGCAATTGTGTAGGTAACACCCTTGGCCCATTGTATCGACTTTCTGGGAGCAGGGCTCAGATTCTGTGTTGGCAGATTCCATAAATGGTGTCTTTGAACTAGATATAAATACTAGTTATTACCCCAGGCGATCGTGGCTTAGTGAACAACTTGTAAGCCATAATAAAAAGTAATTTCTATGCTTGGACACATAGAGTACATTGGAAACAGAGCAAGGGCCCTAACAGGAAGAATGAACAACTTCTGAGCTTTTACAATATGTCAAGTACTTCCAGAGTATTGAATCAGACATCACATGGGAGAGTAAAATTTGAGCACATGACCTTTCTGACATTATATGATGGAGGTGGGTCTTGTATCTTATCTGTTGATTTCATTGGTTAATAATAAAGAAACTGCCTCGGCCCTCATAGGACAGAAAATTAGGTAGGCGGAGTAGACAGAGGAGAATGCTGGGAAAAAGAAGCTGAGTGAGTGAGTCGCCATGATGCTCCCACTCCAGACAGACGCAGGTTAAGATCCTCTCTGGTAAGCCAGCTCATGGGCTACACAGAATATTAGAAATGGGTTAGAACAATATGTAAGAGCTAGCCAATAAGAAACTGGACCTAGCCGGGCCAGGCAGTGTTTGAAAGAATACAGTTTCCGTGTAATTATTTCTGGGTATAAGCTAGCCATGCGGGCGGCCGGGTGCCGGGGACGCAGCCCTGCTGCTCCTATTTCAACAGATGGCGCCCAGACGTGATGGGCTAAATCCACTTAAAAACCTGAGAGAGCTTAATTTTAAACAGAGAAAAAACAGAGTTTAATGCAGAGTTTTGCTCTTTGTTGGTGGCGTGCTGTAGAGAGATTTCCTGATTCAGCAACAGCAGCAGAAAAAAAGCTGCGTCATTTTAAAGCGCGGCTTCCTGGGGCTGTGCTGCCAGCGTGAACTCTGGCTTTAAAGCATTTCAAGGCTTTTATGGGACTGGATGTTTGTGTTCCCGCTTGGGATCGGAGGAGAGTGCTCTGAGACCGTGCAGATGGCTCAGCGCTCCCCGCCTGCACCTGGGCAGAAGGCAGAATCAGGCTTAGGCAGGCGGAAGAGCATGGCGGATTCCTGCCGCTATACAGAGACGCATTTTCAGACTGCGCAGTGCTCTGCATGTCAGATTTGGCTGTAACTTGGATGAAAAGAGTTTCTGTGCTGCACACTCAGTCTCAGAGTTAAACTGCTGAGTGCGGCTCCAATGTGGACTTGCTGTGTGCCTGAAACTGTGAATGGTTCAGGGGCACCAAATGACTCTGAGGCAGGAGCGGCTGCTCCATGCTGAACTGTGCTGATCTCAGGCAGGAACTACCGTAATTACCTTAAAACCGTGCAGTTAAGGTTTAGACTGGGCAGGACACAGGCAGTACCGTATTACCTGTAAATGGTGCAACTTAAGTTTTTAAGAAATGCTTAACATTTTAAGAAATGCTCCTGTATAGTAAAGAAATTACAGATTCACAATAAAACAGATTCAGACACTGTTGGATAAATGTACGTAGGCTTGGGAAAGAGAAGAAAAAGAATATAAAGAATAAAGTTAATGTCTTAAAAAGAAAAAGGGTAAAGTCTTTAAAGAGACAGAGTACAGAAGTACAGAGAGTTATAGATTAAAAGAAATAAAGAAATATAAGCCACGTAAAAATGGAAAATTCACAGAGAGTCTGGATTATGTACATTGTGTTTTCTTTAAAATTTTTGACTGTGAAGGAGCTAAGTACAGAGAGACATTTCATTACATGGGCTGCCAATCTAAACCAAAATGGATATAAGGGTATTATGATTTCAGAATTTGGGTCTAAGGATATGATGCTTTGGAGAGGGTCTTCTTTTGTTTTTGCAGAGGATGAGACCCTGTGGATTGCATCTATTCCGATTTGGTATGATAGACCACGCCCTCCTGAAAGGTTGCTGTGAATACCCTCAAAAAATTGCTTCGCTCAATTGCCAACTGAGATGAAACTAGCATACAGGTTATATCATGAACAACCTAATTAACGACGCCCCTATTCAGCAGGAAGCAGTTTGTAGAGAAAAAACTACGCCCATGTTCCCAAATATTGTTTATAAATGTTCTTTTACATTTAAAGGGGGATATGATATAGATATGAATAATTTGCATTGGTATGGATTTTATGGTCAATTTTGTTATATGTATATGTATTTTTGATCTTGATTAAGGTATTGTGATTGTGTAGTTCATTTAAAAATGTAATGTATAATTAGGAAATATAGGTTGTTAATGGATAATCATCGCTAATACTTAAGCTTGTAGTCATGTTAGTTAGATTTTCTAGATATATAGAGAGATATTTTAGTTAGATAGGCATTCTTCATATCTTTCAAAGGCTGCAGAATATGGCATTTAAGATATTTTAATAACTTAGGGTTTTTCATGACAATGAGACACATTTGCTCCTGGCAGCACCAATCTATTTCAAGAGGAAGATGGGCATCGAAGAGAATCCTTATGGAGTTTGATAGCCATTTGGGCAAGAAACTGCTCTTGCCTGGACTGTTGCATAAACTGGACACAGAGAACCCGCAGAGAGAGGACTGCTGAACTTGCCTAAAGGTGAGATGACCTTTTGGGGTTCCTGCTTCATGAAAGAGTCTGTGAGACATTCTGCAGGACACAGCAAAAAGTGACTGAACTGTCTTTGGAATTTCTTGCTTGATGAGAATGTCTGCTGGATACTATGGGCCTGTAGGCCGAAGATGGATGCCCCAACGGTACAGAGGAACTTTGGGTGACTGTCCAGGCAGCGAGATGTCTCTGTCATTTCTAGAGTTTTCTTATTTCTTGTTTGATAGGTAA